GGGGAGATTTGGGGAAGTCTGGTCACAAAGAGTACAATAAAAAAGCCCAGCACTTTGCGAGAGCTTTTTTGAAAAAACAAAATTTTAAAGTTGTAAATAGCGATAAACACTTTTCTAGTTGCTTCTTTCAGCAATAACTTCGGTAAAACTTATTTTTTTCAAAATCGCTCTCGCAGTTAAACTTTTGAGATGTTCACCCACCGACTGTGTGATTTTTGTAATAAAAAATGTGCTCCGTAAATGACCAGTTACGTTTCAAAGCTTATCGACCGCTTTTTAAACGGGTGCCTTTGAAAGTTCATGCAAGTTTACATCAGTCATGGACATGCTGACTGTTACAGCCCACCACACGTATCAAACCAAGGAGACTATCCAGACAGGCGATTGTCCGCTTCCTACCACACTTATGTGTGTCCAAAATCTATTGTCTTTCGGTGTTTGCTTTCTTTCCACTGACCAGTGCTCGATTTATGGCTGTCAGCAAAACAAAAGATGTAGATCACACATCTTTTCTCCCCATTGCTTTCATTGAATATGCGCAGACTCGTATATGCGTACGTAATGGTGAGCCGAGCCATTCACTGCTTCCACCGTTACTCCGTTTACTTAGTTAACTTGAAAAATTCATATTTGATAACCCCGCAATCCTGTTACTTCGGTCTTTCTGCCATCTAACAGAGCGGTCTTCGATCTGTATAGCGGCTTCGTTTTGCAAAACGGCATTTTAGAATTAAAGCCACCATAGCCACCCCCTTAACTCGCAGCAGTTATGCGCTGCCCACTCAACTACGAGTATAATCCTCTTCGTACTTAGGCAACTGTCTAGTGATTTTTCTTATAGCATTTCTAATGATCTCTTATTTTATCTTACGCTTTCTTGGGTTTTCTTGGATTTTAGTTTGTTTTCTAGGCTTCTTAAATTTAACTGATTTCTTACGACTTAACCCATTATTTTTTTATGTTGTTTTATGCTTTTTTATAACAAGGAGCGCTACAATATAAAAAAAAATGAATTACTACAAACGCTTTGAAAATAAAAAACTTCGATAACAAAGAGAATCGTGAATTGTAAAACTCCAGGAAACCGAGGAAGCTCCATTCCTCGGTTTCATGGAGTTTCCTCGGTTTCCTCCATGAAACCGAGGAAACCAAGAAATTCAAGAAAACAAAGATAAAAAATAACATACGACAACATAAGACACATTACAAAGCATAAGAACTTTACAAAACATAAGCAAGCGTAAAGAACACTAGAAAATTCAGAAATCTAAAAGACCTGTATGGTTACAGTATCACCATCATAACCATCGCAATTCCATTACCACCACCACTACCTGTAACACCCCGCTTACCACTACCAATAGTACGGTTATAAAGAAGCAACGACTTATATAGTACTTGTACGGTAATAAAGAAGCACGCTTAATAGTACGGTAATAAAGAAGCAACGTAATAAAGAAGCAACGCCTTGCTGAGGCTTGCTCTCAAACATCCTCCCATATCGCCAACAGATTACCCACAAATGGATAGTACTAGTTAATGTTACTGGTACTGGTAGTGGTACTGTTAGTAGCACTATGTAATGGTACTGTTACTGGTAGCGGTACTAAGAATGGTGGTGTTAGTGGTAATGTTAAACGGTATTGTGTACCGCGCCTGTGTTTCAGCCAGCGTTCCAGTCAAGCTTGAACCACGGGGCACGTATCCTTGGCACTATGGGCGGAGTGGATAGTGTAAATGAAGTTTTGCTGTTGTAAATTTGCTGTAACGTGTTTCTTCTTCTTTATCAGAAGTGTGCGTTGATTATCAATAAAAAAATTGATGTGTTACTGGTAGTGGTTGTGGTAGTGGTACCCTGCAATGGTACTGGTAACAAGTACGATACTTATGCCAGCAGTGTTACCGGCAGTCGAAACACAACATGGCACGTTAAAGAATGCCGAAGCCGTAATTTTTGCTGCAAATATTTTTTAATAACACATAAAAATAATTGTAGAGTAGTCAATGAACAAAATACTGGTCTACAGAATCCAACTGTCATTTGTTTTCTAAAGCAACTGCAAAGGTGGCTTATAGTAATTATTAACAACTGCAATCGAAGCGACATAGAAGACAAGAATAGCAACATAAAATGATTAAACAAGGCGAGGGAAGTGCTTTTAAGGACAAGAGATAACAAAGGATTACAAGTTTATGGCAACAAATTAAAAAACACTACTCTAGGTACGCTTATAATACCGAAGAACATTTCCTGATTTCCCTAAGTCAGTTAGCTGTGCAGCGCTGGAGAATTCAACCATTCCGCCAATTCATCAACTGCTTTTCCGTCAGGCCTGCACAGCGTTGCAGGACCTGCACTTCTAATAAAGTATGACGGAAGTATACTCTAATAAAGTATGACGGAGAGATCAGTACTCGTACGACAGGAATAATTACAGCAATAATCTATCCTACCGACCTAACTCAACGACAGAGTATGAGCTAATAATACAATGTGGCATAGCTAATTCTAAGAATCTACGCGAAGCGAGAACTGCATCTTCGACGATAATTTAATTAATAACTCCGAAGACTGCCAAACTCCGAATGAGAACGAACTGATGATCAAAGTACTGCCACACAAGGACTTATATAGACACGGCGCATTCGTGTAGAAACAACCAACAGTAAAATCCCAACACAAAAGAGAAAGATCGAGAAAGTGCAAGCGATAATAGAAAGTACGAATAAAGCCGTCACTTTACGTACAACATCGCTACCGTACTCGATATCACGTCAAGTGTAGAATGTATACTTTTACGTCGGTCTCCACACAGATGCAGACTTAACACTATGAAAAGAAGAAGACTAGTCTTCGCATAGGAATAGTGTTAACGTCTTGTTTTTGGTTTGTCTATAGAGATTTGTAACCAAAATGTTACACGCCTTTGATTCGCCCATTTTAGGGGAGTGGTTTAGTATTTTCCGGAGGGCAAAACCCTGCAGAGCGCAGTGAGTTATCCATACATAAAGATACTGTATACGTTATGCATACAAAAACTAAGTATATACGGCTTGTTTTTGAACGGTTAATACTTTTTAAGAGGGTAGTTTAGCATTGCTGGCAGTGTAACTGTGCAACCATCCACAGTTGTTGGTTTAGTTACTTAAGCCGCTGACCGCCTGTTGCTTTCCATACTCCATCGACTTGAACGCTAGCTTTGAGTGTTATCGACTCATTCTATTTTGCTGAATCTCCCAAGCATGGACTTTGTAAGGATATTAGCAATTACATTTAACGCAAAAGCCAAAAACATTTACCGCACAGATGCACAAAGATACAGGATCAGAAATTTAGCAAATTTTCTAATTTAGAATTTGCCTTTTCATTTGAAACCGGTCAAGGGAAAATTCTGATTGCCGGTTCCCGAGCACCACAGAAACTGAAGGCGGCGGCTGTGGAGTGAAACGTACAAAATCGACTTAGCATTCTTATCACTTACTCAAAATGAACTTAAACGTCTCATAAGCGTGATTCCGCATGAATTGAAATTTCTTGGCAGTGACAAAAGTTGTCACAGAAAGCAGCATGTTCTAAATTTTTGAAGTTGGTTTGTTTTAAACAATGACTGATCGAGCCACAAGAGTAGGAGTTATCTTGCAAGTCCGAGAGAAACAACCTGCCGTGAGAAACTGCATTAAACCGTCGCCAGTTTGCGATTGCATCAGTTACGTGCACCTGTTAACAGGTTTTTTCGAAATATCAATTTTTTTAATTTTGGTTCAATCCACACCTAAGGGGCTAATTTCAATATTTCGGGCAGGAAATGGGTGCTAAAATGATCACCTTCTCATTCCAGCAGCACGCTGCTGGAATGAAAATCTTCAAAAATTCTTAACTTTGTTATTTTTCGTGCTGAATTTTTTTATATACGCTTGAAAAATATAAAATAATATATACTATTAGGAAGAATAACTGATTTTCTGGTTTGGTCTCAAGGTTTGGCACTCAGAGCATACGTGCTTAGCATAGCCGCCTAAGAGAAATCTCGAATGAGTCTTCCATAGACAGGTACTTATGTTAACAGCAAAGGCTCACAGTGAATAACCCGAAAATAAAAACTGACAATCAGTTGTCTTGCCTAACGATATGCGTTATTTTGTATTTTTTAAACTTATACAAAAGAATTTAGCACTAAAATTTACAAAATTACGAATTTTTGAAGATTTTTATTTCGGCAGCGTGCTCCATGGCCCACCGCACGCGTACTTCAGCTACGTTGCTGCCAGACAGCTGGCAAAATTTTGCCAGCGGCCCAGCAGTATGGCAAACAAAATCGACAATAAATTCAAGAAATAAGAATGGACTGCTTGTAAATAGTATGCTTTCGTCGTACATTGTATAGTACTTAACTACCCTCCAAAATTGTTGCAAAATAGGTGCGTGTCACAATTTGGTTACTGACTCCCGTACACTGTTCAGAAACAAGCCGTATATTATAGACTATAGAAAGTCTCGTGTATTCTCGATATATATATCACGACCGACGGAACTATTTCCGCGAATAGATGCCACGAAGTGTTTCTATATACGGCTTGTTTTTGAACGGTTTATGGGAAACTGTAACCAAAATGTTACACGCCTGTGATTGGCACAATTTAGGGGTGTGGTTTACGGTACGCCTGTTAATACGGGCATACTGCATAGCTGTCGCTACTGGTTGGGCTAATAAGAAAATTGTGTAGTTACGTTACCGCTACGGTACCATAACCATAGCCAGTCCCATTACCAAACCACCAGTAACACCTCGTTTACCACTACCAGTAGTGGGCTGATAAGTACGCAACGACTAATCATCAACTCCTTATGCTTTAAAAAACTACCTCTAACCCATAACGCTGCGCTCCGGTCTACCAATGCACGCAATAGTGCATTTTTTTAGTTTTAAGATGGCGTCAATAAAGCGTTCAGTTCGTTGCTAGAACTCATTTGCAGATAAGAAAAACAAAATTGTGACGAATGTTGACAGCATTGATCCATGCAATAAATCGCAAAATTGATACATGCAGTACGAGTACGTGCTGCGAGTCCGGAACACGGGTCGAAGCGCAACAAAAATTTCAAGATCAAAAATAATAATATCATAATAGAATAAGATAGCGACAGGTATGCGCATTCAAACAATTGAATACGCAAAGGTCACGCAAAACTCTGTCCCCATCTACCACGAGAATATGACATTCGGAATTTCTTTTCCTTGTTCCGTTTTAGAAGTCCGAGGTAGGTTTCTTCTGCAATCTTGTTCATCTGAAAAAGTGAGTACAGCTTTCGAATCGCAAGTCGCACGACAAAGCAGCTTTCGCATCGTTATAAATCTCGAAGTCTCATATATTTACGAGGATGCACTAAGTTAGCTCGCTGCACACGAGAAAGCTTAACATACATACATACATACATATTTTCCTTTATCACAACTTTTTGTTTAATAAAAATTATTTACACCTAACCTTAATTAACAGTAAATGTTATAATTATGTCTTCAACAGTAGATAGGTAGCAGGTTTTTAGTGAACCGGGAGACTTTGACTTATTATTAATCAAAAACGAGCAAAGACGTAAATAAAAAAAAATTTATATGTAGTATTCTTTACTTCTCGTTACAAAATCGGCCTGTCCATCCTGCAGATGTAGGAACCCAACCCAGTCTGATGTGTACTACGAATAGGGACGAAATTCCAATAAAGGTTGTATTTTTTTCCTCGAGAGCCGTAACCGTGACTGTGCAACACGGCCAGCCGCCTGGGATGGCAGCCCGCTCTATCACGCAAAATGCTTGAAAACTGCCGTTGAAACTTCGACTGTTATTTTCTCCATAGACTTGTATGCTAAATTCTAAAATGTAACACTAACGCTGTGCACTTTTCGAATGGAAACCATCTAGGCGACATCTCAAAAGAATGAGAAAAAAATTACAATGGTTTTGATATCAAACAAATCGTAATGTATGACTATGACAATAAGACAAGTTCCAGCCATTTACGTCTCTCGTAGACAGAGCGTACGATGAAATCAGCTGAAGTTTACATGTATAACGGCAGTTTCAACCATTGTGCGTGATGAAGCGGGCCGCCATCCCAGGAGGCTGGCCGTGTTGCACCTGCACGGTTAAGGCTCTTCAGTCTCAAGGTATGTTAAGCTTTCTCGTGTGCATCAAGCTAACTTACCTGTCAGATGTGCATGTGACCTTTCACATAGCAACCGTGTTTTAGCCGTATGTTTTCAGATTAGTCAGCGACCTAGCGAATACTAATAAATATTCCTATTTATTATTACGCCGTGACAAACTGGCGTGAAGGCCACACGACCTCACGCGGTCTGATTCCCTACACACACAATGTCGACCCCGACGTCGACAACGCCCGCATCGCCTACTTCGCCATCAGCCCCCACGACGTCCAGCGAGAAGACTGGATCCGGACTGATCAAGTTTGAACCCGCGAAGATGACATGGCGGTGGTGGCAATTCCAATACAGGAATTACGTGAAGCTACGGAAAATTAATGACCTGGAAGACCAGAAGCGTTCGCTGCTGGATTCACTCGGGATCGATGCGGGGGAAATGCTTTTCTCCATGTGTTTGCCTACTGATCCCGATAATTTCACAATTGCGCAGCTGGTGGACAAGCTCGAGCATGCCTACGTGAAGAAAACGCACGCCGCCACCGAATGGGCGAACTACTTCAAGCTGCAGCAAGAGTCCGGCGAGACCTTGCTGGATTTTTCAAATCGCCTGCGGCGAAAGGCATTTCCCTGCGGTTTCCCAGCTGACGTACTTGAGAAGAATATGTCGGCGACCTTTCTGAACGGAATCGCAAGCGACGCTACACGCCAACACCTGCAATCCCAGACATACGCCACTCTGGAGAAGGCTCTGGAGATCTGCGAGGAGTACGAGCTCCGGAGGAGCAACAAGAAGGGCAGTACGGCGCCTGATGTGGCTCGCGTGGACAATGCACGCCGTGGTGGCGGCGCACGAGGAAGAAACCGCGGCGGCGGCCGAGGCGGACAGCAGCGGCGCGGCGCCGGTCCCGACAGGCAGCCCGCAACTGGTGGAGGTACCGGAAGCGTGTGCGATGGCTGCGGCTCCAGTCAACATGTCCGAGCAGAGTACGGCGCCTGATGTGGCTCGCGTGGACAATGCACGCCGTGGTGGCGGCGCACGAGGAAGAAACCGCGGCGGCGGCCGAGGCGGACAGCAGCGGCGCGGCGCCGGTCCCGACAGGCAGCCCGCAACTGGTGGAGGTACCGGAAGCGTGTGCGATGGCTGCGGCTCCAGTCAACATGTCCGAGCAGAGTGCTGGGCAAAGGAGCTGGCTTGTAAAAACTGTGGAAGAAAGTGCCATATTGCGAAGGTGTGCAGAAGCGCGAAGCAGACGCAACGCGGACGGGGTGGACGCGGCACCTTTCTCGTGGAGGAGGAGCTGGATGTGCTCTCTGTCGAAGCAGCAGCCGGGCGATCCATCCACGTGCCGCTCAAGCTGAACGGTGTTCAGCTTGTATCACCGGTCCTGGATACAGGCTCCAGTGTCACTATTGTGACTGCTGGCACGTGGAGGTCTGTGGGATCACCGAAGCTTTCGCCATACACGTCCCTCCTGCGAAGCTTCACGGGCCACGCCCTAAAGGTCACTGGGACCGTGACAGTAGACGTGACGCACGGTCGGAACAGCAAAGCGCTACCCGTTATCGTCGTGGCCAGCGGCGGCAACGTGCTGGGGAGAGACTGGATCCGGGCCCTCGACCTGAGCCGACTGAGCCTGCGAGATCTCCAGTCGGCCTCCGTGTCTGCCGTCCCCGGAATCACGGTGGAGGAGCTGCTGGCAAAGCACAGCGCCGTGTTCTGCGAAGAGCTCGGCCATTGTCGGCACTACAAAGCCCATCTGCACCTGAAACCCGGAGCCACACCGGTATTCCGAAAGGCGCGGCCAGTCCCGTTTGCGTTCCGGGAAGCCCTCGAGCGCGACCTGGACCGCCTGGTGGAGAGAGGGATTCTGACTCCGGTAAAACGAGCGGACTGGGCAGCTCCGGTGGTGACCGCGCAGAAGCGGGCGGGAGACATACGCACCTGTGCCGACCTCAGCACGGGCCTGAATGACGCCCTGGATGTCCAGCAGTATCCGCTGCCGACACCAGACGAGCTTTTCGCCAAGCTCAATGGCGGTCGGAAATTCACAACCCTCGACCTGGCGGAGGCGTACGCCCAGGTCGAGCTGGACGACGACAGCAAGAAACTGGTGGTAATCAATACCCACAAGGGGTTGTTCCGATACAACCGCCTTCCCTTTGGCGTGGCGTGCGGCCTCAGTATCTTTCAACAGATAATGGAAAGCGTCGTCCAAGGCTGTGAGGGCGTGGCCATCTATCTGGATGACATCATTGTCACCGGGGCGACCGAAGAGGAGCACCTGAGGAACCTGGAGAAGGTCCTCCAGCGTCTAGAGGAGCACGGGTTCACGCTCAAACGGAGCAAGTGCCACTTCCTGCAGGACTCCGTGGAGTACCTGGGGTTCGTGGAGGACCACCAAGGTCGCCACATCTCCCAGGACCGAGTGAAGGCTCTCCGACAAATGGCCCGTCCGACCAATATCAGTGAGCTCCGCGCGTTTCTGGGAGTGGTCAACCACTACGGGAAGTTCGTCCGCGACCTTTCCGGAAAGTGCGCCCCGTTCCACGCCCTCCTGAAGACCGGAGTTCCCTGGTCTTGGTCCAAGGACTGCGAAACCCAGTTCCTGTCCCTGAAGGACCAAATTGTCCGCGCGACCTTCCTGGTCCACTATGACCCGCGGATGCCATTGGTCCTGGCCGCGGACGCGTCCCAGTATGGCGTCGGTGCCGTGATTTGCCACCGCTTCCCGGACGGAACAGAACGCCCGATTGCCCATGCGTCCAGGACTCTGACAGCGGCCGAGAAGAACTACGGACAAATAGAAAAGGAAGCCCTGGCTCTCGTCTTCGGCTGCCGGAAGTTCCATCAGTACATCACCGGGCGCGAGTTTACTCTGTGTACTGACCACAAGCCGCTTCTGAGCGTTTTCATACCAAGAAAGGAGTTCCAGTGGTGACAGCAAACCGGTTGCAGCGATGGGCGCTCATGCTGATGGGGTACTCCTTCAGCATCGAGTACCGCCGGACGGAGGACTTCGGCCAGGCGGACGGCCTCAGCCGCCTACCGCTGCATTCGCGGAGCTGGACGGACTGTACGGGCTGGGGATGGACAGCGTGGTGAACGCAATCCACCTGGATAACGTATCCCGTTTCCCCGTGGCAGTGGAAGCCATTGCACTGGAGACCGCCCACGACCCGGAATTGTCCAGAGTGTTCGAGTACGTCATGACTGGCTGGCCTGCCTCTGTCGAAGAACACCTGCGTCCGTACAAACGACTCGAACACGAGCTGGTGGTGGTAAATGACTGCATCTCCTGGGGCTCTCGGACAGTCATACCAGCAAAACACCGACAGGAGGATCCTCGACTACCTGCATGCCGCCCACATGGGCGCGGGGAAGATGAAGGGTGAAGCCCGGGGATACTGTTGGTGGCCACGCATGGATGCGGACATTGAGCGCATGTCCAAAGAGTGTCGCATTTGCTCCGAGCAAGCAAAGGAAACCGCCAAGGTACCATTGTCGCAGTGGGAAGTTCCCGATGCGCCATGGAAACGGCTCCACATGGATTTCGCCGGTCCATTCCACGGGACAATGCTCCTGCTCATCGTGGATGCCATGTCGAAGTGGCCGGAGGTAGTGCAGATGAAGCACGCCACTTCCGACGGTGTTCTGGAAGCGCTACGGAGCCTGTTTAGCCGTTACGGTGCGTGTACCGAAATGGTGACGGACAACGGCACCCAGTTCACGTCGCAGGAGTTCGCCGACTTCTGCGCGGAACACGGCATCCGACACCTGCGAACACCACCCGGCCATCCACAATCGAACGGCCAGGCTGAACGTTCCGTTCAAACGTTCAAGGATGGAATCACGAAGCTAATGGCGGACCGGAAGTCGCTGTCGGCAGCGCTCCGAGAATTCCTTTTCCGGTACCGGAGCGCCCCCCACGCAACGACAGGGAAGTCACCCGCAGAACTCTTCCTTGGCCGGAAGCTGCGTTCCCAGCTGGACTTGCTGGTGCCGGTCATGCTGACCACGACGGAAAGCAACCGGCGGCGCTACCAGCAGAATTTCGACAAGCGAACAAAGGCGAAGCATTTCCAGGCCGGTGACTACGTGATGGTGCGCGACTACCGTCCGAGTCGGACAGTCGACTGGCAAAGAGGCCAGCTGGTCAAGCGGGAAGGTTCGCGCATATGGATTGTGCTGGTTAACGAAACTGAACTGCGCAGACATGAAAATCAGATGCGGCCGCGACATTGGCTGCATCCGGATGAGCGCGCAATACCGGCAGCCCCCCATGCACCGAAAATGCACGGTACACCGACTGCACCGACTGTACCTCATGTACCCGAAGCACCGAGCGCACCGCCTGTCGCATTAGCCCATGCGCCTGCAATTCCTGACGATCAACCTGAGAAGTTGGAACAGGAACCAACGAAGGAGCTTCCGACGGCAGTGCCAGAAACTGCCGCTGCAAAATCCGAAAAACCGCTGGCGAGCTCAGCAGTTCCGCCTACGGCAAAATCCAAACCGCCGAAGACGCGCGTCGCTAAAAGTGACACCACTACTCAGCAGCAACCACAGCCGGAAATTCGAAAAAGCGGACGAGAGATTAAGAATCCCGATCGACTGATTATGGATCCGAAATTCGGGAAATAATTTTTCTTTAATATTTTCTGGATGTTTTTGGCTGAGTGGGTTTTCCCCACTGGGGGAGGTGTCAGATGTGCATGTGACCTTTCACATAGCAACCGTGTTTTAGCCGTATGCTTTGGTTCGCTGATCAGATTAGTCAGCGACCTAGCGAGTACTAATAAATATTCCTATTTATTATTACGCCGTGACATTACCAGAACCTCGTCACGGCTATAAATTCAGAAAAACTTGATCTTTTGCAGAAAGATATAGGAACACTAGCAAAAACAAAAAAATTATTTTCAGCTGCTGTGATCAATGGGCGTGGCCAGAAAAAAAACTAAAAGTAAATTCTACGCTGCTGCGTCATACGTTTTAACGTTCCACAACAACCTGTGCGAGGCCAGTTTAACCTGAAATGCTTTTCTCAAAATTTTTATGTATTTCTTAAATACTTGAGCATACATAAGTTTAACAATCCAGCCGCTTGTGAAACGGGTTTGCAGATGGTACGCAGCCCGCGCTTCAGCTTGTTTCTGCCGAGAGAGATCGGTGCGCGCGTGCAACTTCGATCTCGTAATGATTGAAAAATTGCTAACACAAAGCACATCCAATTTCTGCTGAAAAACGTAATGTAAACTGTATCACCTCCAGAAACGGTAAACGATTATTTAAAGTTAAACTGACCTCGTACAGATTGTTCGGTATTAGCGGTATAATACTACATTCAGCACAGGCGATAGTTCCCATAGACTACAGCAGTGTGAAATTTAGTTTCAAATTTTTTTCTGGCCACGCCACCTCCATTGATCACAGCAGCTGAAAATGATTTTTTTGTTTTTGCTAGTGTTCCTCTATCTTTCTGCAAAAGATCAAATTTTTCTGAAATTATAGCCGGTGACGGGGCCTGGTTAGTGCGTCCTCGTATTGCAGAAACAAATTGTTGAAAAGTTACTGTACATGAAAAAGGTTTCTCAAGTCCACCATTGTCAAGCTGGTTTGTTTTCAAATTCATTCCGAGTCGGGTAGACGCATGAGATATGTCCAATCGGGGCTTTTCGAAGCGACTGTTTTGAGTGTAATTGGCAACGAGTATTTCGACGCCACCGCTGTCATTTCCTCTTGGGTCAAAATTAATGTACTCAGGGTCCGCATCAAACACTGACCGTCTCTGTAAACGGTGGACGTGTCAGATATCAGGCGATAACGATCCACGTCAGTAGGCATATACTGCACGCACTGGATTTTCGCGATAGTTCCCGCTTTAGCGAAGAAATCCGCAAAAATGCCGGAAGGATGTTCGTAGAGCGTTACATCTTGAGGGATGGCAATTTCCCGATCCTTAATGCAAATGAGATAATTATTGATATTTCTTATCTTCATTGCGGCAATTAACAAATCCACATGACCAGCTAGTCCTACGGTGGCTCTTGAGTTTGCATTGGTTATTAGTGATATAACTTTGATGCGTTTGCTAATGGTTCTGTCAAGCAACACGGCAAAACGGTATGCATTCCGATCCCAGTTGTATGAAGCGATGGGGAAGTTTTCAACAAGAAATGTCATATCCGCCTTTCCATTTTCATAACGCTCGTAAATTGCGTTCCAAAGTGTGCACACCCTGTAGAATAAACTTGTCTCACAATAAATTCTGCGGAGCCCTCTTACAATAACATTCGGTCAAACTCGAAAGATTGAAACCGAAACCATGTCAACTTTGACGACGAAGCTGTGGGCACCTTCTTCGAGGTCATATGGTTATAAAAACTCTTAGCAATAGGAAAACACAATAATTTATCGACCGTAACGTAGCGAAGGTCCTTTATGTTCAGCGCTAGTTTAAAGTGCGATGTCCGTTCGTCGATCACCACCCGTGCACCACCAAATGCACATATGTATTCACGGTGGCTCTGTATACGGCACTCACAACTTCACAAGTCACAACCCATGTCGCTCATGGTGTCCGTTCGAAGGTTACGCCAACCGAATGCATAAACATCTACTGGCCAATACGCAATGGCCAATGGCCATGTCGCACCACATACAAAATCGGATCTTTTCGATCATCGTATGCTATGTAGTACGTACTCCAGTGTATTCCGCGTGTTTATTGTTTATTGTACGGCAGACAGGTAACCCATTAAAAGTTAGGATCGAAATCTAGCATTGGAATGTAAACCTGGCTTAATAATAGGCATCGTGATGAAATTAGAGAAAATGCCACTAATGCAAAGACAAGTACTAAGAAAAGGAAAGTAATCAAGTAATGCTAACATGCTTCAGTGCATTACGAAAAACAGCAAGCGAACTGCTACTAAGAATGTCGTTTCCGGCCTTGGTCAGCTGGCTCATAACGTTGTTCAGCCTCCACGCCAATGTGGACTTCACCGTCCTTGTCCTTCCCCGTCCTTCGAAGAAGGTCTTGTTTCCGCTTCGAAGGCTGTACGGTTCGGAATCGTGCTTTACGACGATAATTTCGGTGAGGTAATGCGGCACTTGGAACTTCTCCGGGTGCAGAATTTTGTAAAGCCAAGTTACTTCCTTCCAATTTTGTAAAGCCAAGTTTCCATCGTTCAAACAGTGGCGTAATCCCGTATTGCTTCATCAAGTCGGTGGTGGACACTTCGGCGTAGTTGACAATAGTTCGAATAGCTTTTCTCTGCGCGACTTGTTGTACTTATTGTACATGTACTTTGTCTGTGATCACGGTGTATTCTTTCCTTATTCCTTTTTGCAAGTGCATATGGTTATAAGGGCAGTTTCTTGTTTTCTTATGTTTATATTTTTTCTTATGTTTTCTTATTTTTTTTATTGTTTTCTTATGTTTTCTTTTATGTATGTTACTTATCTTACGCTATTTTATGTTATCTTGTGTTTTTCTTCCTATTTTCTTTTATGTGTTGTTATGTTTGCGTATGTTATCGTATGTTTTCTAATTTTGGCTTGTTTTAGGTTTTACACATAATATAAGATTAGATGACGTGAGATAAGAAAACGTAACAACCCATGACCTTACCAAAATACATAAGAAGGAAAAACATAAGATAACTTAAAATAGCGTAAGATCACATAAGAGAAGATAAAAAACGTAAGAAAGAATAGAAAAGCATAATAAATAAACTTTTCTCCTACATTATACGCAACGGAGAATACTGCCGAATCCCATTGATGATCTGTAAACGCTCATGATGGATACTGAATCGCTCCAACACCACTACAGCAGAACGCTGAGAAAACAGACGTCTTTAGACAAAGATAACTACGTGAAGATAGTTCACAACAATTGCATAGACACTTGTTCACCGGTGAACGCAACTGTAAACGTACGTGACTGCACGTCACATAACAAACATACTTACGAAAACAAAAGAAGACAAAAAAAAATAAGAAAATATAAGAAAACATAAAATAATGTAAGGTAACATAACAGAAGAAGACGTAAACCAGAGTCACAGTCAGAGCGGGCCACCGAAGCGCGCGGGTCGTCGAAGGCCCCGGTATATAAATTCCTCACCAGTCAGTGTCAACTAATGAATTATCAAGAATCACAGATACCGCACTTACCGTTTGATTTTCACGTGCGACTGCGCATCCAAATTGAAGAATATTTGCAGAAATATTTCGATTGGTAAGCCCACACCACATGTTCCTCCTGGTGAACGTTCGTTGCCTTAAAAATGAACTCCAATGACTGGCTGTGATACAGCCGTACAAGTACTTGGTGTTTTATTACCAGTACTCTGTTGTTATACAAAGGGTGTACCAAACGTAAGTTTCCTTATTTTGTATCTCCCGGAAGGAACGGTTTTCGTTCTTATAAACCATATTTTCTCAAGTCATTGGTGTCTAAGATGCGCATGACTGCTCATGAAATGTACTTTTTACTGATGCAAAGAACGCTGGATTCACATCAGCAAGAAGACTGAAAAAGAAAAAGGAAAGACTGAAAAAAGACTGATAATTCTGGCGTCCTGAAGAAACAAAATGTTTGCTCTACTCGGTAAAATTTTCAAACCATTCTGTCAACGCAGTAATATTAAAGAACAATATCTGTACATCATCCTTTTAATTTACCGTCGAAATTACAACCAGTACGGAATTAGCAATAAAAAGAATGAGCTTGAAAATACCCGTGGAGAGAAATGGATAAGTGCACTCGCTATTCTACGTATTTTCGTTTTCCTAGTTCTTGATTAAATCTTTTGATTCTTATTTCCCTAGTTACAGTAGTTTGCACAATCACTACTACAACAAAAAATAGCTCACATGTCTATTACTTCAAATGGCAGGGAGGCAAAATAGGGAAACTTCCTTTGGTATGTACGCCCATTGTAGTACTGTAACAACGCGAACTTTTGAGTCACCTTGTTTTTCGCTTCTGAAACCTATTCGTATATTGTTTATATTGTCGTTCGCTGTACCTGAAAAGTTAAGTTCCGATAGTTCGCCCCATTGCGCTGGCTTACGAGATATGCTGGAATACCGGAAAGAACGTCGGATTTTCGAAAGGCATTCGTGTAACTCATTTTCGTTATCGCGGGTCAGCCAGATAATAAATATAGCGCTATTAGCATTTATTCGTGTAAAGTATCGGCACAGTCCCGTAATCGCATTACGGAAATACATGTCCTGAATCCAGGAGCGCAAAATATCCCATCCGATCACATCCTGTGGCCCGGCTGCTGGCCACTGTATTTTAAATTTAGCGTATCTTTGTGGTGACACGCGAGTCGCAAAGGACGGCTCGTTATAAGGCAAGCTTTCTGCCAATTGCCAATGATGGACTATACGACGAAGGCTTACTGTTTTCCCGTCTTCCCCTGCCACATCCAACTGTACATGGTGCAATTTCAAACGGTCGTGAGATGAACTTTCTCCTTGCGATGTAAACACCAACCTTGCTGGGCGGAATACGAAAGGTCCGTTTAATTCATTGCGTACCGCCACAAAAACGGAGTCGTGCAACGGTTGGCTTGGTATAAGATAATGAGGCCAAATGTATTTCGAGTTCACCCAGGAAGCGGTAGTGCTGCTGCTTATGAAATTCAACAGAAAACTGTCTTCATGGATATCTTGAATGTATGCCAAATGCCAGTTCTGATCGCCATGATTCATAAGGACAGTATTAGCCACGTTACACTCTGTTGCACCGTATTCTTGAGGGAAATACAACATCTCATCCAAATGTTGCAATGTCTGTCTGGAATCCATTGTTTCCGTGCCCTTTAAGAAATATGTACACGTATGTACTGTAGCGTCAATGGAACACATGCACGCATCTAAGGATACTGATAAACGGGAGCTTATTCGGAAATAAAAACTTTGTTTTTTTTCATAATTATTTTGGCCACTTTAAGTTGACGTTTTTATAAATATTCACCGGCCGAATGATAGCATGACTCGCATTTTACAATGGAGGACGAAATGGTAGCATAGCCCTATGAGCGCAGGCGCACTATGCGTACACCCTCGCTTGGCAGTCTGTTGTGTTTTGTTGCGCGCCCGCCTTACGCGTGGCGAACGCATGGTGTTCTGTGTGCATCGCGCACAATGTGACGGTTACGTGCGCTTGCTGTAGTCAGCAATGCGAAGTTGCCCACGAGGAATTTCTATCGAAATTAGTGTTGTCATAAAGTTCTAGCAGTAACGTCTGTTTTTCGTTTTTCCATAGCGTAGGCGTTATAGCATTGCCAGATCTACTATCTGGTAGACGGAGTTACGTTATAGCATTGCCAGATCTGGTAGACGGAGTTACGTCAACTCCGATTCTACGGCGAGAACCTTGCCAGGTTCGTGCCTCATATGGTAGCAAGAGACGTGTTTCTCCAGGATAATCTGAAGTTTTCCCGTCTAATTGACTAGGTGGAAGGAGCGCGAGGAAGGGCTCGCTGACGAAGCACACGGCTGAAGTTAGCACTACGACTGGTGCACTACGACTGGTGGAGTGAACCAGGGAAACGTTCAAGGTCAATGGGCGCCGGTGAGCCTACTGATCGCCCTGAACCAAAAAAAACCGGATATAGGAGAGCAAGGTGCTTCGCCGCAGGGAAGGACCACGGCCCAAAAAAAAAGTTGCGAAAGTAACGCAAGGATCCGGAAAAGAAATCCGAGAATTCGAGAAAGGAACTCGAAAGGGAGTGAAAGGGCTCAGAAAGGTGAGGGCAAGACTATCAAAAGACTCCCGCAAGGACGGAAGAATTTGACCGAAAGGTGACCGCAGAAAGCGACTACGGGAAACAGGGTTGACGGAAGGGCCTCAACTCTTCATCTGGGACAGCAGAAAGTAGCTGCAAATCAAGGAGGTCACGAAAGTAACGTGACGCTGCAAGGGCAGCAGACCCAAAGGTCACCCCAGAAAGTAACTGTGAGGAAAGGTCACGAAAGTAACGTAACGCTGCAAGGACAGCAGACCGAAAGGTCACCGCCTCAACCGGAGAGCGAAACGACAAGGAAAAAGAAATTCTTCTCAAGGAGCGTGGCAAAGTTGCGCGCTGAAAACTCCGCAGAAGAAGACGACAAAGTTCATCACTCTAGATTTCGAGAGCATATAGAGAAAGTACTCCAAGAAAGAAGAGATGCTGAGAAAGGTCACGGAAGTGCCGTGACAACGCAAGGAGCGCAAGAGACAAAAAAGTCACCTCAAGAGTGAACTGAAGAAGTGAAAGGTCACGAGAAAAAGCCAGTGCAACAGACTCGACAGTCACTGAAAGAGAAAGGTCACGGTGAAGTCGCTGTAGAACCGAAAGGTCAAGAAAGCAACTTGACCCTGCGAATGGCGCAGCAAGCAGTGAAGGTGAGAGAAAGTGCACAGCTAAACTCGGACGACTCTCGATTCGGCAAATGAGTTGCGGCAAAAGATGGAGTGACAAAAAGTTGCTTACAGACCGCAAGGGCGGCATGGTATGTGAAAACCAGTCCCACCACCACAAAGGTCACCACAAGATGCGACAATTCCCAGAGAAGAATATTGGAAGGAAAGAGAGAGAAGAGATTGGTGGATGAAAAAGCACCTTGAGGAAACGGTGAAAGCTTCACAACCGAAAGTAAAAGAATACTGGTAAGAGAGAAGACGACTTAACGAAGACAACCGTCAATATCAAAAACGGAACGAGAAGGGTGAATAACCGCCGCAATACGGGGAGAAAGTGCCTATACAGAGGTCACCAAACGGCGGATTTTCATGTCTCGAAAAAAAATGTCACCGGACTTAGCGCAAACTCCGCAGAAGGAAAGGTCATACGACTTATGGCAAGCATTCCGGAATGACAACGAAAGATCACCGCCGAGAACTGACGGAATGTCATCCCAAGTTGATCCAACTTGGACAAATAATGAAGTCTCGAAGAAAGTCAAAGGGTGGATGAAGGAAAACGATCACAAGATGACCGTCTATGAAAGGTCACCAGAAGAGTTGCAAGATCAAGATGGCAAGATGACCCTCGCGGATCGCATCACTCAAGAAATAATTGAGAAGCTGCGAGAAAAGCCGTCCAAAGACGTACAAACCGAAAGGTCACAGTATGAAATCATCAAAGAAGTGACGAAGGGTCATGAAAACGCACAAGCAAAGGAGCGAACGTGCGAAGCATCAAAGGTCACAAATGAGAATAACGCTGCAAAAGGGCAGGCGTGTGACTTACCACCCGGAAAAGTAATTCGAGAATTCTATGATGCAAAAGCAAATGTTCCTAAAAGATCTGACCGGTTGAGTTCAAAAAATATGAACTAAAACGCACAAGCGAAGGGGCAAATGCGTGAAGTTCCACAGGTCACGGAAAAAAATAACGCTGCGAAGAGGCAAGCGCGTGACATACCATCTGGAAAAAGGATCCGAGCATTCTTCGATGGACGACCTGACGTCCCGAAGAGGATCGACAAACTATCTCCAGTAAGGAACGTGAAGCCAAGATCAACGTCTCCGATCCCAGTTCACTGTAGAATCAGAGTGCTGAAATTTGACGACGGAAATACGCCTAAACGAATTGAGGCACTGACCCATGAAGTCAAAGTGGGAGACGTAAAGGTCATGACAATGTTAGATACAGGCGCAGAGACGTCCCTGATCTGTCAGCAGTTCTGCGAGCAGATTGGCCTCCGAACTATACCGCTGCCGCCAGGAAGGAAAGCAGCGATCAAGGGAATCAGTGGAACGTCAGGTTTTGAAGTAACGCATTACTGCGCAGCGCCTTTGACCTTAAGGAAGAAAACGAGTCAACACTCATTCTACGTTAGACCAGCGTCAGACGACGTTCAAGTCCTGTTCGGATTCGATTTCCTCGCGAAAAAGTTTGTCTTAACAGACGGAATGAAACGGATGACGAAGATGCCGATGAAGATGAAAATAAAGAAAAAAAAGATGAGCCGAAATCTACTGCGAAAGTTAACGCAGGGAAAGTCACCGAACTTGGAAGTCAACCAAGAAATCAAGCGGGGCAAACGTCTATCCCAGTACCAGAGGCACAGGGAGCGAAAGGAAATCAACAAAACACATTCGTGACAATTCCTCCGTAGAGGAATTGTCACGAATTGTCACGAACATCGGAACCATGCGTTCATCTGCGTACGAGTTGTCTAGTTCCAACGTGGATTTTTTAGGGTAGAATTTCGGAATGCCTGAACTATTCTGATGTATAGCAATACGTTATTTTTACATGCACTGTTCATCCTGGACACAGCATTCTTGTCCTGGGAAACGAGCAGTTAAGTGTTCCAGTTCAATAATTTTTTTCTGAGCGCAGATAGCTATATAGTATGGAGATTGAGGTGAGTCATCCGCTGATACTGTCGTCGGACAATACGAATACAAGCCTGCTGCCCTACGATTGTATGATTGCTGTTGGAAACCGACCGTCTAGCTTTGCGACACATGTACTGATGTACAGCAGACAGGGAATCCGACAGAGAATAGGCAACTGAACAGGCAGGAGTGAAGCAAACCTTTAGTGCCCTTTACTTTCCATCTTTTCTCCGTTAGAGGATAGGAGGCAGACGCAAAAGCTCAGAACAGACAGCATCTTCCTGACCTTTCAGTTACACGTTGGATCCTATACGAATATAATATATAGACAGACTACGTCTGCCATATGTTATATTAGGCTTCCCGTTTCAACCGTGCAGCGCCTACGTAAAAAAAAACTGGTGAAAGGCTAAACCCAGTACTAGAGGAACTGGGCAAAGGAAATGTCAAAAAAATTGAAAGGTCACCAAAGTCGAAAGAATCTAAAAAGTCACCGACGATCAAACAGATAAAGATTATGCAAGCTGAAGCACTGATCACCAAGAGAGATGCATTAGTTCCAGGACTGGAGTTGTCGAAGCTAATCCCAGTAAAGGGTAGAACCCAGAAAAAAAGCTGGACTGATGAACAGTGACGAACGGGCGCTGTTTTCTGAAATACAGGATAAGGCTAGAGAACAGCTGAAAGGTCGAGGCGCACGCTCTCATAAAGATAAACCAGAGCGTAGTTCTCAAGTTACTTTCGAACCACGCTCTGCAAATGAAGAAATCGAAGTCATCGAATTGTCATCAGACCACAGCGTGATCCCGATTGAATGCAATCGCGACTGGACAGAGAAGGAAGATTACCTTTGCGTCCGATCGAAGCCAACCAAAAGGACGGCGGAAGAAAGAGCAACGGCATGCGACCATGATTGGCAAGATGACCTTTCAGTACGACCTCAAGAGAAATGTATCCAGTGCTTGCAAGAAGCAAAGCAAGATGACCTTTCGGAATGGCCGAAATGCAACGCCACATTCGAAAGTCTCAAAAAAGGCGATTGGATAGAAACGAAGTCATTATGAGGACGCTTCCTATGGAATAGATGCCGAAAGCAATGTACCGCTGGCAAAGATATTGAAAATGGTTGTCGGTAGTTAAGAACTACATAATCTCAAGAGGAAGGTGGCTCCATCACTGGCAGCAAGAAGTTGACAACTACATTCTCGATAAAGCAGATAAAAGTGATCCACATTACATTTACCCAGTACCCAAGCTCGATCAGGAACGGCGATGAGCTATGGAAGAAAACGAAATATGGGAAGAAGAAAGAGTCGAATTCTCTTGGCAATGCCGAGTTAGTTACCTATGGAAAGATCAAGGACGAGTGGTGACTTTCCCAATAGGACTTGGCACGTCATTCTATGAGCTATTCGGCCTGTATCAGGAATGCCTGACGAAAGGAAGCCTGAGACCGTTCAACAAACAATGGACGAAAATTATGCAA